CCGGGCCAGGCGGCGCTGGTGTGCGCCAGCGAGGTGGGCAGCTGGTCGTACTCGCAGCGCCACAGCCGCCAGCTGGGAGTCGGCGAGGCGGCGGGCAAGGCCGACCTCATGGTGTTCAGCCCCGGCTGCCCGCCCGCCGCCGCCGCCGGCAGTGCGGACAAGAAGACGGGAGGCGGCGGCGCCGGCCCGGATGGCAGCGCAATGGTGAGATGTCTTTATTCGCCTCTTTCCTTGCACGGCTCCCAGATTGCTTCCCCTCTCCCGGAGCGCGCCTCAGGCGGAGCGGCTTCTCCCGCGTTTTGCTCAGTGGTTGCATTGATCATTTGCATGTGATTTCCGTTGTATGTTTGCAGATTAATGCTCCAACGCAAAACCCTGCAGAGTAAATTTTACCATGTGGTCTTTCCTCAGTAGATCTTTTGACCCCCGTTGTCCTTAAATGTTTCTTGGAGGAAGCCTTTCCAATTTTCAGCCTTGATCAGAGGCCCCATTCTTGTGTTTTGTTGATTGATTGATTGTTTGTTGCCGGAGTGAGTGGCCACGTGATGTTTCTTAGAAAGGCGATCACTCTTTGTACCTCGAGCAGAGTAATTATTCTTGCGGGTTCATTTTCTCTGATGAGGACCCATAATACACACTTTGAAGAAAGTTGCTTGTATTTATGTAATGGGTTATTGGAGCTTATTTTTTTTTACAAAGAAAGTGTCAATCTTAATTCCTTATTATTAGACCTCACTTGTTCCCAGCCGGTAGGTTGTGTACCAGTTACCTGTATTTTATATTTTCCTGTGCAATGGTTCTAATGCAAGTTATCAGATACACGTCTCGACGTTTTTTTCAGTTTCCCAGAAAGTCTATCCCTCGTTAGCATCCGGTAGCAGTGAGTTGCAGAGGTAGCTTGTGTGTGGTCTAAACCTTAAATTTCTTCCTCAATTTTATCTAATATCGCCTCCCTCCCATAATTCAGAAGACTTCTCTGTCCTTTGTGTGAATTATGCATGTGCCCTCATCCTGCCTTCTTTGCCTTATTTCCTCCCTGAGCAGCCTTACTCATTTTAGTATTTCTTCCTGTAGAAATCTTTCTATGATGATGTATTTTTTGCTTGGGTTTTTGAGGCCCTATTTTAAACTGAATTTTCGCATTGAAAATTTGAACCGAAATACTGTTGATTGAAATCCTACTTTCAGTGGTTATTGTTATGTTTTAGGTACGCCATGTAGATTAGGTTAGGCTATGGCTGAGATGCTTTGTCAGCTGCTTTTAACTTATGCTTGCCTCCGCGAGAAAGTAGCCAAGTTTTAAATTTACCTTTCCCTGGATAATGTAAGTGTCAGAATAATTTTCTAATTCCACAAACACTAAAAAAGTTAACACAAGCTGACACTTTTTTTGCATAACTGGTTTGCAAGACAGCCAGGTATAGCAGAGAAATGCTTTTGAAGGACTTAACGTTAAATGAGAATTACTTTTGTTTTGACCTAATACTTGAAGATGTAACCAAAGCATATGTTAGCTATTGGTAGTTTAGTTTCGAGGAAAAGGTTGGATTTATTACTGCATTTTTTTTCAAAGACTGTAGAGCAGAAAGAGATTGAAACATCGTGACACTGTATTGGAAGGAACAGCGCTATTTTGTGATACCAGGAGTATTCTGTTGCTGCAGTAAGTAAGTAAATACTCGGACTTCTGCTGAACTACAGCAATGTGAGGGAGGATACCAACCGGCAATGTTGACTTTTCTGTCTATTTCAGAGAGTTTGATTGAATTGCTTATCTAGACAGGAAAACTGCGGGTGCCAGGAGTTGCACATGTGCAGTAACTGTTAGCTATAGCTGACCCCTGTAAAAGACTTATTTCTCCAGCAAAGAGAAATATTAGAAATAACATAGTTATAAAAACCATATTATAACAAAATCAGCACAAACAGTATGAACAACCCTGCAGCTCCAATAACTGTTCTTCTGGGGCATGTTACAGTCTCAAAGTGCTCAGTTTCGGCTGATCCAAAAGTGTCTAAAGGATGCAGTACTTGGAGTTCGGTGTTCTTTGGACTGGGCAGGACCCCAAAAGGGTGACAGTTCATTAGTGGACCTTGGTTAGTTTGAGTTTTATGTTATCTAATGGGCTGCAGGTCCAGGAGGTGTTTGTTTTTAATTTTTCGTCGGGCTTCTGGCTCACCCTTGTCGCGGTCAGGTGGGTGCGCAGTGCTCCCGCGAAGTCCGCAGTCGTCTTCTTCTGGCTTCCCCTTTTCCAGGTCGGGGAAGCTTGCGTTGGAGCTGATCCTGAGCCCTGGTGAAACTTCTGTCTTCTTTGTACGAGTATAATGAATCCAGTTGTTCTTTTCTGCTACTTTTACAGTGGTGTGATAGGTGAGGAGGACTTGATACGGTCCTTGCCACTTAGGTTCAAGGGGAGACCGTTTCCAAGTTTTCACATACACCGAGTCTCCAGGCTGGATGCGATGTACTGGGACATCGGCAGGTAGGGGTTGGCTTAAAGCAGCATACCTATGGAGAGATTTTAACTGAGACTGTAGAGATAAAATATAAGAGGTAAGTCCTTCATCGTCTAAAAGAGAAGAAGTGTGAGCCGGTAGTAAGGGGAAATGTTGGGGAACAGGGTGTCCAAAAACAGCTCGTAAGGGCTGAGCTTTAGTTTTCTTCTGGGGGTGGTTCTGATGGACATAAGGGCCAGTGGGAGAGTCTTAATCCATTTTAACCCGCTCTCAGCACATAGCTTTCCAATTTTTTGTTTCAGGGTCCGATTCATTCTCTCTACTTGTCCTGAGCTTTCTGGGTGCCAAGGGGTATGGAATTTCCATTCTATTCCTAGGCAGCTGGTCAGTGTTATATTTATGTCAGCAGTAAAATGTGATCCTTGATTGCTTTCGATGATACGTGGTGGACCAAACCTGGGTATAATTTCGTTAAGGAGTATTTTTACTACTTGTGCTGTAGCTCTTCTGGTGGGGAAGGCTTCTACCCACCCCGTGAGTTGGTCAACAATTACTAGGGGTTTTTTGTACCCATTGTCTTTAGGCATATCAGCAAAATCTATTTGTAGTCTTTCAAAGGGAGTATAAGCCCAGGGGCGTGCTCCAGGGGGTTCTGATTTTTCCCCTTTGATATTAAACTTTTTGCATATACTGCAGTGTTCTAAAAGCCTTTTTGCTTCCTGGTAGACTCCGGGTGCGTAGAACAGTCTATTAGTGATAGCAGCAAGTTTTTTGCAACTTAAATGCTTGCTTTGGTGAAGTTGTTGTAGATAAGGTTTAAGGGCTGCTTTAGGTAGCACTATCCTTCCCTCCGGCAATTGCCATATTCTATCCTTTTTAGCATATGTATTGCATTCTGTCCCTCTTCCTAGTTATAATTCTAATTTGGATCTTGCCTAGGTATGCCATTAGGCATGGAGTGGTTTTGATGCTGCTGATCGGCTAGAAATTGTTCAGTGTGGCGTAGTACTTGGGTCTTCTCGTCTTAGGTTAAGAGGCTTTCGAGAAGCTGCATGACATCTGACCAGGAGGGGTTATGAGTCATGAAAATGGTTTTGAAGCACCTTAGAACTACTTCGGGATCATCTCTGAGCCTGGGGGTGTTTTCTTGCCAGTTTAAGAGGTCGGTGGTGGAGAACGGAGCGTGTTTCCAGTGACTGATAACTTCTCCACCCTCATCAGGCACAGGGTATTTTTTTAGGGGAGTCAGAAGGCTAGGGGCAGGTACTCGTTGTCGGGTACGATTAGCTATGGGAGTTGGATTAGTGTTTGGGGAGGTTGAGTCTGGAGAGGGATGCCTTGATCCATCTACAGACTCAGGACTTGGGTGGTCGCCGGGAGGCAGTCGGGGTGATGCCTTCTCACGATTTCCCGAGTCCCCTGCTGGCACGGGAATGAACGGATCAGGTGGGATAGGGGGTCTGGTCATGGGTCTATAATCATCATCTGAATATGAAGGTGGTGCAGAAGGTTTTGGACATTGAAGGGGAGCTAACAAATTGAGGAAAAGTACAGGGGTTGGGGTGACTAAAGGCTTACTAGCAACAGTGTCTCATAAATACCAATAATTCATTAGGCTGAGGCGGAGGTCCTCCAAGATCTTTCGTAAGGCAGCCAGGTGATTTGGGTCAAATGATCCATTTTCTGGCCATTGTCTTCCCAAATCTAACTGGGAC